GAGCATCACTACATTTAGCAAGCCAGCATTTATCATTGTGGCCACTCATTTCGACCAGGCAAAATGTGAGAGCACTAGCCTTAGAGGAGACACTGAAGGAGAAGAATGCAGAGCTACAATCCTGTCTAAATGAGTTCCTTAATCTCTCTATATTTTATAATGGTGACTAAAATGAGCTGGTCTTTCCCGTTGACAACCTTTGCAAGTGGATTTGTAAGAAGATATTGGCTGATATACATGTACGTGAGCATATGACGTCTCAATTCAAATCTATTAGATTCAGTGTTCCAATACCAATACGTTGGTACATGTTTGAGATCAAGATGAATGAAGAGGGATTAGTCTGTGATAAGGAAGTGATATCACTTAAGTCATGTTACACTATTGGTATCAAATTACATGTAGGAATGAGTCAATCAGATGTTGACCAATGTCTAGTGTACCTTGATTCATTTACTCTCTGTATCTACTACTCCAGTATCCTCCATCATGTTGTCTTCACTGATCTTCAGTTTCTAGTAGACTTTCTCTCCAATATTGTCAGACTATCATTTGTGGATTATATATAGCAGTTATTACCTGATGGAGTCAGCTTGTCTCCCGATACTCAACTTAGGCTAAAAAGAGACGGAGTTTTTGATGAGTCCCTACTGGATAGTCTTGGACTGACTTTCATTTCTAATCTGTTCTCAAAGTCCAAATTACTTTGCTTACTGAAGTACCTTTGCTTGGTCTCTTTTATTATTTCCTCTACTGGTCCACCTCGTTATTTTCTACCAATTGTTTTTCCACCGGAAAAATCACCAAAGAACAGAAAGAGGCCTTCACTGAAACCTGTGACCCACTGGTCATCTCATTCAATAGTAAACTAGCGTACTGACAGTATATGTGTGTGTATTGTTTCATCTCTTTCTCTTTTTTGATTTTTATTTTAGGGTTTGTTTTCAACATTGATTGTTTCTCTGTTAAGTTGAGAGGAGAGGCCTCACTTTTGTATTGACAGTAAGTCTCCATTCTTTCTAAGCAGCTTTGACATGCTGTCAAGCTTTACTCTGAGGATCTATTTGGGTCTGTCATATTTTTTGACAAATATAAATTTATGAAAGTCTACTTTACTAGAAACTACAAATATTGCTCTGTTTTTTTGTTCAGTGATCCTAGAGCGTCTATCAGCCAGTGCTGCTGCGTTAGACATATATGCTGTTGTGACATATTTTCACCAGAAGCACAGAAGACGTGAGACTGATAAGAATCCTCATCCTATCAAAGTATCATACATCCAAGAGAAACCCTCCTGAGATCAGGTGCAGTATTGAGAGATCTTCAACCCATTGCATTAACTGATGAGAGACGAAGTTGCTGGTTATTAGGTAAGTTTTTTAGCATTTATATTGTTACTTTTGTGTGTTTAGTTTTATTGTATTTATCTTTTACAGATCCAGTTGCTCTATCAGTTGTTCCTATTGACAATCTTTTACCAGAAGGTTCTGTATTAAGTGAGTAATTATGTTAGTATTATTATTAATAATGTGTGTATTTACAGATGAGTCTCATGCTCCTGTTATACTACAAGCCATCAATAAGATA